GGGCCTCAGCCCGGCCCGTCAGTCGGTTGAAAACAACCTTCAGCTCCTCCTCGTCCTCGTGCTGCTCTTCAGCGCGGCCAACGCCGCTGGCACGGCTGGCCAGGCCGCACCACTCCGTCGGCTGGCTCGGCGTCGCGTTGCGACCGCGCAGCCGGCTCGCGCAGCCCGGCTCGGCTCTGTCCCACCCGGTTTTCGCCCGACTCGGCTTGGCTCGGCTCGGCTCGGCTCGCCGTTTCGTTTAGGCCTCGCGAGTGGGTTGGGTTGAGCGCCAGCACCGCGAGCCCCGGAACGTCGTGTTGCTGGCCAAACGGTACGTCATGTGAGTTTGGTGTCCTTCGTGCTCCCCTCGAGCGCACCCAAGCGTCGTCCTCGTCTTCGTCCTGAGTCAGGCCGGCTTGAAGGGTGGGGGGCAGCGGCGCTGCAGAGTGGCGAGTAGGGAACGGGGAGTCTGGCGATCGGGGAGGCAGGCGGCAGGCGAAGGCGATCTCAAGACAGGACGAGAAGGCGAGCTGCGAGCAGCAGGCCGCAGCAGGCGGCCTCGCATCTCTCCCCCTCCCTTCAGACCCTCCCCTGGCCGTCTTCTGCAGCGGCGGTGTGTGAGTGTGTGCTGCAGCGGCGGCGGTGGTGGTAGTGGTGGGCAGTTTAGTTTGTCTGAAGACAGGAAGCAGGGAGGAGGCAGCGAGCGTTGAGTGAGTTTTGCTCCCCGTGCGTTGCTCAACGCCCCCGGGAAGATGCTGCTGCTGCTGCTGCCGCTGACGCGACGGACACACTTTGCTTCCCATCCTCTTCCAAACAATAACACGATGTTGTTTGCTGTTTGCAGGCTGCTGCTGAAGACACCGACCTAGACGCGGACCAGCCCCGGCGCCCGTCAGCGGACTCCGGAGGTTCCCCAGGGCGCGCGGGTGCACATCCGTCGTGGCCGGCGACGCCGTCCTCGGCCTCTGCGGGGCCCAGCACTCGGCTGCCACTGCGGTGTTCGCTGTGCTCCTTCCGGACGCCCTTCTTCACCGCCATGTCGAGGCACATGTCGGCCGAGCACACCAAGCGTCCCGCGGCGATGCCGACGACGGCCGAGGTGGCGCCCCGGGACCAGCTGGGCCCACCGGCGGCTAAGCGCCCCGCCAAGCCCTTGCCCAACCTCATCCCCATCCAGGCCACGCCCTTGGGCCAAGTGCGCGCCGCCGTCCCGGTCGCCCCGGTCGACGGCGCCGCGCCGGCTGCCAACGCCGACGACGCCCACGCGGCGGACACGGCCAAGAAGAATAAGAACTCGTTCTTCGACCAGCTGCGGCTGTACCCGGGCAGCGCGCCCGGCGACGGGTCCGAGCTGGTGTGCGTGCACTGCGGACACGAGGCCAAGTGCCTGTCGGAGCTGACGCGCCACAACAAGCTGCACCAGGGCACGTCGCGCGCCCTGGGCACGTCCACGCGCTGTCAGCACTGCCGTCACCGGTGCAAGACGAGCGCCGACCTGGCGCAGCACGTCAAGGCGTGCGCCAAGGCCACCGCGGCGGCTGCGATGGAGCAGCAGGCTCCAGCAGCGCTCTCGCCCGCGCAGCAGCCCCCGCCAGCCGACGGCCCCAGCGGCAGACTCACGTGCGCCGACGCGGACCTGGGCATGGAGAGCGACATCGCGGCCGCCACCGAGGCCAACAACGCGGCCGCGCACGTGGCCGTCGCCGTCAACGACGAGGATGACGATCTGTACGTGGGCCCGCCCCTGCATGACGACGCCGTGCCGAAGGCTGACGCCTCGCTCGTGGGCGTCGAAACGGCGCCCGGGTACGGGTCGGTCTTGGAGAGGGGCGACTTCGAGGCCAAGGCGGCAAAGGAGAATGTGCCGACACCAGCTGTGGCCGCCAAGAAGGTGCGTTGTTACATGCGGGGTGGTCTCTTTGTTTACACCACCGCTCGCCCCCGTGGTTGGTGAGGTTATTGTATCAAAAGTTGCCCGGACCGTCGGTAACGGTTGGGTTAACGAGGGAACGAAAACTCTTGCGCTGTCTTCTGCCTCTATTTCGAACGGGGTAAAACACCAGCGTTGGAACTGTAGTATATTTAGGGGAGGATTATTGTGATTGATTTGGAAATCCTCATTCCTTTTACTTGTCTCCTAACATGCCATTCTTTGGGGGAGGTTATGTCAAAATATCTGTTCTTTTTCCTTAGTTTTTTAAGTTACATCCTCATGGCAACCTTTACTTTTGGTCAGATTTGCTCTGTGATTGAATTTGAAAGAAAACTCACTGAACACCATATTTTATTTTCAGTGTGACTATAAGCAACCACTAACAAACTCTTTTGTTTTTCTAGGTGTTCAAATGTCCTCACTGCTCCTTTTGGGCTGCCACTGCATCAAGATTTCATGTTCACATGGTTGGTCATGCAAACAAAAAGCCCTTTGCATGTTCAGTTTGCATGTATAGATCAAATTGGCGCTGGGACATCACCAAGCATATCAGAATCAAAGAAGCCCGAGATAACAACCATTCTGATGCCAAAACATTAATGACAGATGATTCAGGCCGGAGAAACTATGCAAAATATTTCAAGCATTACATTTGGCTCAATGTTGCAGAACAAATTATTGATACTCTGACATCACTCCTAAATACAAACAATAAGCAAAGTGTGAATGGGGGCCAAGTGAATCCGACGTCCTCAGAGTCTGTTCCTACTTTACCTGCACCTCCCAAACTCACAAGAGCCCCTGCACCTCGCACTGTTTCTATTCCCACCTCATCACCTGGAGCATTACTACGTCCTCCTCCTCCTCTTCAAGCTGCAGCCCAACATTCATCAACTCAGGTCATCATTCTACCTGGAGGAGCACGCTTAGGGCAACAACCCCTAGAGCAACCAGGCCAAACAATGCCCCAGCAGCAGCCACAGCATTCTCTCAAGAGGCCGGCTGAGACTCCAGTAGTGGGTTCAGACCCCAAAAAATCAAACCCAGAAATAAAGAAAACAGTATGGAGATGCAAACAGTGCCACTTCAGGTAAATAGCTGTTCTCAGAGACTAAGAGAAAATGCAGTAATACTCGTGCCAGTATACTAAAAAAAAAAAATTACAAATATTTTACAGGGATGGTGATAGAGCAGTGGTGCTTGCTCATGTTAAAGGGCATTACCGGCAACAACAGGAAGCGTTTGCTCTGGTTAGTGAAACTGATTAACTAGAAACTTGTAACTTTGCAAAAGTACACCTGTTTGCTTAATACTATTTTTCTTTATAGGCCAAAAAGAATTCACAGGCTAGTGGCACACAAGATACAAACATTGATTTACAGAAGAAAAATGAGGCTCCACCAACCATAATACGGAAGGTACCCTACCGATGTGACGTATGTCCTTATGTGTCTATTTCTGAAACAACCTTCCAAGCCCATGTGAACTGCCATAAGGAAAGAAGTGATGTTCTGTTCAAATGTTTCTACTGTCCGTTCTATGTCTCTACTAAAGAGTAAGTAGGGTACCCCTTATTACATTATTTGCCCTTCTCCTAAAACAATAAATTTTATGCATTCCTTTTCTGATTTCAGGGAAGTAATTCAACATATGACTGTCCATAAACCAAGTTCAAAGCCAGAAAGTAGTGTTAGTGTCTCTGGAAAGGTTGCAACTCCACAAAATTCATCTATTAGAGAAACTGCAGTAACTAAAGTTCAAATTAAAAAAGAAGCAGGTCTGCCAGAACAGGTGGGATGCAGCAAAAGCAGATATGTGTATCATTCAGCCTTCCTCTCCTCTTATTTTTGTAACCCATTTGTTTTCTTTTTTAGGAACCAGCCTCTAGCAGTACTGAAGTGCAGTCAGCTAACCAACCACTACGCCCACCACCTCTCGATTTTACAAACATGACTGAAGCCCCTGTTTGTTGGGTGTATCGTGATGATAGGCTCCAGAAGATGTTGCGTTGCAGATATTGCCCTCATGTCAATTTAAGAAAAGCAAACATGCAAGAGCATGAAAAAATGCATTTGAAGAGATCATCTCCTGGTGGTGATGGAGCTGAAGGCTCAGGACAGTACTCTCCATATCATTGTCCAGATTGCAGTTATGTTTGCAACAATGCTGGAGTTTTATCAACTCACACTAAAGTGCACTCTGCAAATTATCCACTGTCATATACATTTTATGACCCCTATAGGAATGAGATTTTTCAAATGAAAGAAATAATGGAAAAGTATAGTCTTAAATCAAAAATTGATGAAACCCTTTCAAAGAGCTCTCCTCCTAAAGAAGCTGTGGACATGGTAAATGAAAATAAGTTGACTGGGATAAATGTTATGAGTCTGCTTGACCCAAATCAGTCCCTTACCGATGCGGTTTTGGCTATGAAGAAGAAATTCAACTTAGAGTTGGATGGTGAACCATTTGCTGAGCCTGTAGAAGACTCGGCAGAATCTCCACCATGTTCTCCTCTAAAGCCGTTAAATGATGGTAGTGATCCTATAGCATCAGATGCTGTTGACGAAAAACAGCTTCACTTTTGTAATTTATGCCCAGCACGTTTCTTGTTCCGTAAAGAACTAGGCATTCACTCTCGTTTTCACAATTTGTATCTTGTTCATAAATGTGATCATTGTACGTACACAGCAAGGCAGAGGCCCCATTTGCAGGCTCATTTTAAGGTCCACACAGCAGATTATCAAGATAGAACAACTGCTTTAATGAACATGTACAAAGTTCACAAGGAGTTTCCTATGCCTCGAATTGTGTCTGACACCACTAAATCAGGGATCCCAGGTAATTTGTGGATTGTTGCCACTACCCCAGAATATGAAGAGCCACTTGCACCTTTACCCCGGTTCTCATGCCTGAAGTGTCCTGCTGCATTCTTTAATAATGAGGCGTATCAAGCCCACCTTGCTCTCCATGGAAGCAACAATCCTCACAAGTGCCGAATATGTGATTATGCTGTCAAAAGCTATGGTGACCTTGTCAAGCACATGATGTCACATGGCTGTAGGCGCACTGTAGCCAAAAAAATTCTCCAGGGTCAAATGGAAGTCCCAGCTTCATTAAGCGGTGACTCAGGAAATAACATGAGCATGAATCCATTAGAACATCCTTCGATTGTGCATAAAGAAGAGGCCCAGACATGTGATGATAATGGCAGTGCTAATGTAGACATCCCATGCCCCAGCATCAAAATAGATGTTGATGAGAGGGAAGACTTTCCTGAGGAGGTTGATAGTCTGGAGGGAGCTAGTATTCAAGAGAAGTCTGATGCTGAAGTCAAAGATACGGAAAACAGCCCATCCAAATCTCCTTCTTCTACAACTAGTGCTGATGCGTCTGGGTCCCCAGAGTTTGTTTATCCAACACTCTGTAGAAATGGCCGAGTCAAAGTGAAAAAGTATAAATGCAAAAAGTGCCCTTCTGCTTTTGAGAAGTATGATCAGTTTGTTGTTCATATGAGTCTTCATGGTTCAAAGCAACGTTACAAATGCCCACAATGTGATTATTCTGTCAAATTCCTGGCCAATCACATTCAACATATCCGTAGACATAAGATAAATGACGAAGCAAAAGAGGCTTCAAAGATTGATCCAGAATCAAGCCCAAGTGAGACAAAGGAAATGGTCCCTGAAGACACTGAAAACATACCCACCCCTCCTCCAATTTCTCCAACACGATCTGCCAAAACGACTGGAGGGAAAGGAGAAAAGCTGTCAGTTGCTGACAAGCAGGCCATTATGGTGTTGCAACAACGCCGTGCTAAAAGAGCAGCCATTTCACGGGAATCACTAGATAAAAATTATTGGTGCTCTCACTGCCCATACTCCAGTCCTAGAAGGGATCAAGTTGAGAGTCACATGAGGCGCCATGTTTGTGTCTCAGGTGCGCGGAGTGCATTTGTCTGTGATCACTGTGATTACTCTGTGCCCAACAAGCACTTTCTACGTGATCACTCTAAACTACATTTTGACGTCAGTAAAGCCCCCAGACCTGATGCGTATATGATCTGTAATGGGCTTGAACTGTTTACCAGTTCTGGATTTTCTGGTAAAAATAAATCTAAAGGAAAGATCATGATATTCCAGGATAAAGGATCTAATGTTACATCTGATCGCTTTCTCCCTCCTCTACCTGCCGAGTTGAATGATGACAGCAATGATGGATCAAATAGAGTTTATATAAATCCCCAAACTTTTGAATCTGAAAGTTTTAGTGAAAATGGTAATAATAAAGACAACCTAGATGCATCAGAATCTGATAATTGTGGTGGAAATGACAGAGAGGTGGATATTAAACGGAAAGATAAATCCTGTGATGGCCCTGGGAAAGAGAAAGATTTAACAGAACCACCATCTGCTGCCATCAGCTGCTCTGAAGCAAGCAGTCAGAGCTCAGCCTCAGTTGTCGAAAATTATGTTACAGTAAATTCAGTCTAATTCTTGGTTTATTTATCGAGCACAATTTGTGCTCAATCAAATATTTGTGTGAATAATTATTTTTCCTTTCTTAATGCGTACTTCACTCTGCTCCCATGTTTTCTTTATTCATATCATACGTACCATCTACCATATCTTTAGCATCAAATTTCCAAGTTGTAAATAATTTTACTTGCGTCTTTGAAAAACTCTTCAGTGATATTTGTATGGATTTATTGTTTATGTTCTAGTGTTCTCCTTTTTTTAGACAAAAAGAAATAATATTAAGCTACCTATCCTTTGCTTAATCAGGAGCCACTTTGAGTTCTTGTATTTGAAAAGTACCTGACCTTGATTTTGATTAATATATCGTGTCTGTTGAATTCTTGTCATTTACTGTAGCCTTTCTAGTGCATACCAATCTTAGGATAATAATTATAGATTAAGTCTGTACCTGTAAAGGTATTCAGTTTTGTAATTTTATTACTAGAGAGAATTATTGTGATTGACTGGTTGTAAAAAATAGACATGTGATAATAATGCTAGTCAAGTGGGTTATTGTTATCACAAAGAACACTTTTAAGTTTTATTTAATTTTTTTGTTTTTGTTTAGTAGGACTTTTTCTTCTCTCCTGAAGAAATAATTGTGCGCATAGCATGCCATTCTACTTGTACCCATTGTTAGTTACCATACTAATTTCTTCGAATAAAACTTATACAATTTTAAAACTTTAATCCTCTCCAATTTTCTACTACATTTCCCAATTCATCACCCTCAAACTCAGCGGCCCAAAGCCAAAACGCCCAGCAGTGGCTCTATCGGTTCGAATCGCGCGCCTCGCGGTAATGCCAACGATTTAGAAGCTAAGCTCCCATGGGGATGGCGACTGCCACTTGCGGCCGCTAGGAGCGCTAATGGGCCATGAGTTCAACTCTCGCTTCGAGACCGCGCTTCCCCATTGTGTCATATGGGTAACAGTGGCATCGAATAAGTGCTTGTTTTAAAAGAAATTGACCGAAATCTCGGGACTTTTTTGTGTTAATGGGGACAATAGACATAGGGTGCATTTCTGACGAAGAGATGCAGAGGAAATTATTCGCCGTAATAAAGGGCGAGTCGTTTTAGTTGGGCCGACCTACCGCGGCTGCCGTGAGCCTTCCTCTCATCGTATTTTTGCTATAAAAACATGAAATAAATCATTTAATATTAAAATCTACGTCTGCCTGAGTGAAAGCATCCGATAAATGACAGTGCCCTTGCTAATTTAACGTTTATGTCATTGAGAGACGCTTTTTTTTTCCCTCGATTTGAACATACCGTTACCTGCCTTCGTTAATGTGATTTAACAGGTTATTTTTGACGGAATTGGAATGTTTCTTGACTTTAATCTATTATTTTCTATCCAATCTTACATCTAGTGTTAACCTTTACTCTCTATATTTCTTCCCCGTTTCGCAAACGCGTATTTCGGTACCCCTACAACAAGCAGAGTTTGAATCGCGCGCACCACAGTTGAACTCACAGCCCACTAGCGCCCTCTGCCCCGAGCTTCTCATATCGCCATCCCCATTTGTCCCAACTACGAAGTTAGTACACCGACATCATGAGAATACCAAGACGAGGCGATATCCTACATAGAAGGACAAATTGAAGTAATGCTATCAGTCATAGAGGGGCCAACAACTCCACGTTTTCGTCACCTAAACGATAAAACCATCCTAAACCCCTAAACGCTTCTCGCCGAGAGCATGTTGCAAGGAGATTTCTTTTAATAACAGAAAATGGGTCTATAGAGACAAACTCGAACTTCATGAACGTGGGACAATGACATTTTCATATCTCCCACGAACAAATTACAAAATTTTGATACAATTTCAATGAAATTGTGCCTTTTTTTTCTGCCGGCAGTAAATTTGAACCTGCGTTGTGTACAATGCATTGTGGGTAGGATCCTGACTAAATGCTTCTCTCCCATTGGCTGTTCGGTTTCCACATTTCTAATGCCCGTATGTAAGCTTAGCTCTCATTGGTCAGCTTTTACGAGGAAACACATACAGATGACATTATTCTGACCAATTAGATCGACGCTCTCAAAGCAATATGTGCTATTTTATGTGATACCTAAAGTAAGATGTGGGAAGAAGGAAGTTTTCATTAAATTTAGACTTGAACGCGTTGGATTCTAATTTATAGTAAGTAAAGGCGTTCTATGGTGGCGGAGTGAAGTAAAACAGTTTTGTAACCACGCCCTGGTTCGCGTTGTAGGCGCATAGCGCTGCCGGCGAAAACCCCGTTCACAGAATTATCGAGCGTTCTGTGGCACCCAAGCCGAAAGAGGACACTTCAAATGGCGTTCATAAAGTTCATTGTTCTTAGGGTCCCGCTAATTTTGCCGCAATGATAGGAAAAGAAAAGAGGAATTCTTCCGCCCTAGTTTTGTCCACGTCGAAGTTTTGTGTGGTGTATAAGTCCGCAGACATCGGCTTTGGCGGCCTGCCCCAATATCTGTGTGGTTAAAATTTGTGAAGTTGCCTCAGGTAGGCATAGGCTATGTGAATAGGTCAACCTACCGCTAACTATTTTAATAAGTTTGAATAGTGTAGCTGGGGCTTGTTGTTTTGGTGCTGGTAATTCGTGTATGTGGGATAAACGGCTACCGACTCTGCCTAGCCTCATTCGAAGCTGGGGTGTTGGATTTGTATTCCTCCTGTCAATCAGCTTTCGTTTCGTAAGTGCCTAAAACGTAGGCTTTAAACAGTGTTGTTTTGCGGAAATTTGACATTTAAAAAATTGGGATTTGTGTTTTTGTATCTCACTCCTTTAGTGACGCTCGCTATACCTGCGTAATAATAGTGTAATTTCGTCGCCAAATCTAACCTTACTAGGCTGTTTTGCATGATCGGTTCATTTGGGTTACCTACTTTGTGAAATATCAATGTCGGCGAAGTATTTGGGAAACTAAATCGTTTGTATTTCTGACGGGATTTATCCGTCTACCTTTTAAACACATTTTGGAAGAGTTCCACAAGTTATTGTGTTTAGTAACTCTAAATTCGCGCGCGTACGGTGGGAGTGCGGTATCTTCTGCCCCGACACCAAGCAAGTCGTGTATAAACATAGCGTGTATTGAAGGAGGAAACCCTCCCCGTATGTTTATATTTGCTAGAATTGAGACTTTCCATTATTTTCTGTGCTCTTTTGTTATTTGATTTTACTATTTGTGTAACTTTCGTTTTATTTTTACAAATTACTTCCCTAGTTAAGATGTGTTTGTTTTGAGTGTGCTTACTAACCTTTCATAAAGTTTTCAAGCCCTTTTATGTCACATTTTGTTCTACTTTTGGCTTACTCGACTTATTTTTACTGTTAAATAAGCTACATCCATAGAAAAAAAGTAAAAAAAGTAGTGTGTTTATTTTGATAATTCTAAATATTAAATTTCATGCATCATCATCAGCCAAAATGAAGATAGAAGAGTTTTGCTTCCTGGAGGGGGAGAGGTTATAGCTCTTACATTGCGACTGATCTGTAAGCGTATAGCTTTTCCCCTTCCATGTGGCATGTTTCATCAGGAATATTCTTCGTCATCCCTCAAGGGCTCGGAAACTGGAACAAATCAACCATCACCTAATCAATTAATTAGAATCATGGATTATTTTCTTTTCTGATATTAAAAATAGAGACAGTAATTTTTGTATTAATGTGACTAAATTTGAAGATTTTTTCTACTTAATGTCATTGATAAAAATCCATTCATTTGCCTAATTGTTAAGAATGTTGGTGCTTGTATATTTCACATTTTTAAGAATAGGCACCCACTTCTATCAGTGTTTTCTGTCTGCTTTGTGCTCACATCAAATTCAAATTGACTTGGATGTTTCCTGCAGGTTTTTTAATTATCACAGCTTACACCTTTTGCTATTGTGTTCTCTAACTAATCTATTGCCTGTGTTTAGCAAAAGCTGTTGTGATTGCTCAAATTTCTTCTGTACATATTGTAATTGATTTTGTGCTACATGGAACTAATGATGTCCTGTGTTGTTCTGTTTGCAGGCTGGCCTAGGCCGTGGTGCTGGATAAGGCCGGCTGGATTGACCATGGGAGTGGCAGCCACACCGATACACACGCACTCTGCTGCTGCTCCCAGCAGTTTCGGCACCCACGTTTAGAGGATGGACTCTTACGATCTGTTTGGTGAGGATGTCACTGGAAGCGTGCTGGCTGGGTTGGACCTGGGATCCAACAATTATGACCCATCGGCGGCAACAAGAGGCGGAGGTGACTACCAACAACAGCAGCAACAACAAGCTCCACCTTCACAGCAACAGCAGCAGTCGCAACAGCAGCAACATGCATACCCGTCAGGCGATGCAGGGGCTGCTGCAATTCAGAAGCAGCAATCCGCCTACATGCAGCAACACCCTTCCATGCAGAAACAGCCGTATCCTCACATGCCACAGGACTCACTTCAGAAGCAGTCAGCTGCCTATCCACATATGCAGCAGCCTCAAGCACAAGCTCAACAGCAAGAGTCACCCCTTCAGAAGCTTGCATCATTTGGGGGTGATTTCCCCGCGGGCTCTAATCATTTGGACCCATCTTCACAGGCCATGTACCACCAAAATCACAGCGGGTATGGTGATGCAGCAAGGCCCATCCATCCTTCCAGCGCAGCTTCAAGTATGAGTGGGGGCTATGTGAGGAGTATGGCTCCTCAGTCGCAGGCCCCAGGTCAATACGGATACAGTGGCATGGACAATATGTATTCAATCGATCAATCAATGGGTATGGGGGATTCCAGTAATATGCAAGGTTGGAATAGTGGTGCTAATTATAGACAACAAGCGCAACACTACAGTCAAATGGCTCAGGGAGGATACCGCCAGCCTCACATGGGCTATCAAGATCCAAGTGCTATGGGCAGCCAATCAAAGCTCCCTCCACAGCAATATCCAAATCAGCAGGGTATGATGGGTTCAATGATGCAACCCCATCAGAATATGCCTCCTACAAGCAATTATAGTCTTGCTCAGCAACAGCAACGGATGCCTCTTCATCAAGCATCGCAACAACAGCCTACCCAACAACAGCCTCCAAGCACTCAACAGCAGCAGTACCATGCACAAAATTCTCAAAGTATGAATTATCCTGCTGCAAGTGCATCATATGGCAGCTATGGATCAATGCATCAGGCTGGAGCAAGAATGCCGCATCATGTTCAGTATCCTGGTGGTCAATCTCAAATGCAAATGTCAGATATGACATCTGGGCAGAGCCAATCTTATGCGCAAGGCTTTACTGGCTTTGGACAACCACAATCAACTACCCAACAGCAGTCTCAGCAGGCCACACCACAGCAGCAACAGCAGCAAGCTTCATCTCAACCTCAATCTCAACCTTCACAGCCTGCCCAGCCGACTCCTCACTCACAGGCCCAGAGTCAGGGACCCCAAGCTGGGCAGCAACCAAGCCAGCCTATCATTCGGCCTATTGGTGTTGACGTAGGATCCACTCCGCAGTATCCTGCTGGTCAAAAAGGACCTCAAGGTGGCATAGGAGGAGCCAGCCCGCAGTACCGTGCTCCTTTTCCTCAATTGTCACCTCAAATGAGTCCTAGGCCACAACAACCTCAACAAATGTCGCCAAGACCTGTGATGTCTCCTGCCAAACCCAGTACTCTCTCACCTCATCCTCATGCAACTTTATCTCCTCGGCCCAAGTCTGCAACCCCAACACCACAATCCTCATTTCCTTCTCAACAGAGTACTTTACAACAGTTAGAGCAAATGGTGATGCCTCAGGTGGCACCTGGATCTGATTACCCTAGTTATGGGCCTCGTAGCCAAATGGGTCAGCCGCAATCATCTCCTTTAGGTGCACGCACCCCAGTATCACCGCAGTGGGGTCAACAAGGCAGTAATCGTTCTGCTTTTAGTATGAATGGAAGCATGGGAATGGTAGATTCACAGTCAGGTAAGTCATGAACTTTGCATCATTTTAATCCATTTACAACTAAGTTTACCTGTATTATACAAATGTTTGTCTTTTTCAGGCTCATCAACTCAGCCAGCCTCAGTTTCAGGGGCCACAGAATCAACGGGGACTACTGCACCTCAGCCTGAATACAGCCCTGCCCCAGGCACTCCGGCAAGTGCAGCAGAGAAAGAAGGGACCAAGACTAGCAGCTTGTCTGAACTGAACGGTCCACAGTCGCAGCCAACTGTGGATCCCAACAGCAGTCCAGCTGGTAGTGGACCTGACACTAGTAGCTTGATGAGCCATGGTACTATGAATCAGAGTTACCCGTCTAGTTATAGTGGCTACATGGGAGCCAATAGCATGCCTTACGGTAGTAAGGAGATGCACGGGAGCAGCGGACACGTCTACGCAGGGATGCCCCACGGGCCGCACGGGTCCGGCCCGGGTCACGGTCCCGGCCCAGGTCACGGGCCAGGACACGGTCCTGGATCACATGGGCCCTCGGGGCCGGGGGCCAGCTCCATGGACAGCATGCACGGCTCGATGTACGGCGCGCAGGGCCAGACAGCCCCTCAGTCTGCGCAGTCGATGGGCATGATGCCCGGAGAGTATCCATTCCAGGGTCCAATGAGCCACCAGCAAGAGATGGCGGCGCTGCAGCAGCAGATCCAAGAGCTGTACTGCATGCCGCCCGGGCCCGAGCACCAGAAGATCCCCCAGCTCCAGAACCGACTGGCCATTCTGCAGCGGCACGAGATTAGCGACCGGTGCAACGGAGGGCCGCAGTGCCTGCTGCAGCAGCAAGGCCTGTACGGCTACAGCCCCATGGAGAGCCCGTACCAGCCGCCGGCGCCCACCAGCGGCAGGGGCAAGGGCAGGGGCAAGTCCACCACGCCGAGGGCCAAGAAGCCGCGCTCCAAGAAGGCCCAGGCGGAGCTCGCCCTGCAGCAGCAGATAGAGGCAGAAGCAGCCGCAGCTGCAGCCGCCGCTGCTGCCGCGGCCGCCAACTACAACATGCCCGGCCCGGACATGGGTAGCCCGCCGTACCACCCTGGCATGCCCCCCGGACTAGCGGGGCACATGCCCATGTCGGGGCTCCCGCCTCACATGGGCGGCCCACCTCACATGGGCGGGCACATGCCTCCGCACATGTCACCTCATCACATGCCGGGTCCGGGACCCGGGCCCGGGCCTGGGCCAGGACCTGGGCCGGGCCCGGGACCCCTGCCTGGACTGTCGGGCCCGCCGGGGCCCCAGCCCGGACCGCCCTCGCGCATGGGGGGCCTCCTACCCCCTCACATGGGGGGGCCACCTGTCCCCGGGCCGCCGGGACCACCGGGCCCAGCTAGCCTACAGCCCGGCCAGATGATGTCCATGGGGCCCACGGGGCCCACGGGGCCCACGGGTCCTTTAGGCCCCACGGGGCCCACCGGGCCCACCGGACCGCCAGTGCCTCACCTCGGCCCCCCGCACGGGTCTCTGATGCAACCAGGGCCCCCACAAGTGCCCCAGCAGCAACCTCACCAGCAAGCTCCGCCTCAAGTCCAGCCCCAGGCACCACCTGCACCGCAGCCACAGCCCCCGCAGCCCCCTCAGCAGCAGCAGCAGCAGCAGCCACCGCAGCCGGCGCCGCAGCCGCATCAGCCCCCGCAGCCCAGCCCCCTGCAGGCGCCGACCCTGCAGTCGCAGCCCGTCCACCCGGCGTCTCTGGACACGCCCCCGCCGCTGCAGCCCCCGTCACTGACGCCTCAAATGCCCACTGAAGCGCCAATGAAGAGCGAGGCCGCGACTCCATCCCAGATGGACACCAACTTACAGTCGCCCCAGTTCGAACCCTCCCCTCCGGACACGAAGAGTGAGACGAGCACGCCCATTCCATCAGTGCCACCGCCAGACTTGAAACTCGACAATTCCAGTGACGCCACGTCCCAGGATCTTGGCCAACTTCCGGAGCCTTACTTAGCTCCTTCCTCAATGCAGCCTTCACCTAGCCTCCACTCACCCATGCAACCAACTCCTGGTTCGTCAGACTCAAAGTCAGAAGTGTCAACGTCAAGTGGCATTACACAGCCTCTTGAGTATCCCATGATGTCACAGCAATCAGGCCTTGAACCTGGTGAAATTCCCATGTATCCTAGTGGCCCTATGGGAGCTATGGGTCCAATGGGTCATATGGGACCCATGGGTCACATGGGTGGAATGGGTGGTCCAATTCCGTCTGGTGGATTGCCTTTTCCTGGACAGATACATGATGGACAGCTGTCAGATTATGATGGTGACAAGAAAAAGGGAGCACGGAAACCAAGGTCCAGAAAGCCAAAGGAACCCAAAGAGGCCAAAGAACCTAAAACTCCAAAGGCACCAAAGGAAAAGGCTCCAAAAGAGCCTAAAGCTCCTAAAGCAGCTAAGGAAGCAAAAACACCAAAAGAAAAGAAAAAGCGTGAAACTAAGACTTCAGGTGAGGAAAAAGCACCCAGAAGGCGAACTCCAAAGAAGAAACGAGATGATGAGGATGGAGTTGAAGATGATGATACAAATGTGGAGACTCCATTGCAAGCAGATGCAGATGCAGACGAAACTTCATCAATAGCCATGCCTGATGAAGATAATCCTGAAAGTGCCCCAGCAACTGACCCTGACACTACTCTAGATTCAACGCAAGAAGGCTCACCTCTGAAAAACAAGTCAAGATCAAGATCTAAACCCAAAGCGGGTGCTGCTACTAGATCCAAAAAGTATGTTAATTTTTCTAATTTTATTTTAATGAGTTGAGTTTCTTAACATTTTTAACTCACATTTACTGTTTTGTTTTTGTAGGAGCAGTGGTGGCAGTAGTGGCGGCGGCGGTGGTGGCGGCGGCGGTGGAGGTTCATCTTCCCGTCGTAAAAAGAGGAAGAAGGAATATGAAAAAGATGAAGATGAGGTTGATGATGTCTTGCTTGCTACTCCACCAGCCTCTCCAGAGGAAGATGCTGAAGGATCAGTTCTTGTAAGTGTAATTTGTTATACACCTTTCCAAATCTAGTATTTCAGTGCCATATGTAATTAACTGTGCCTTTTTTTTTTCTATGTGCTTAGAAACGTCGCTCAGCCAGAAATACTCATCGTAAGAAGTATGTTGATGATGACATGTTGCGTTTCTCTGATGATGAGGATAAAAATCCTAAAGAACCAAAGGAGCCCAAGGAACCTAAGCAACCTGTTGCCAAGGTGGAAAAGGGTGAAAAAGTGGAACCAGCCGAAGTGCCTATTAAACCCAATTATGTGTACATTGTAAGTAGTTTAAGGTACTTGTGAATTTACATATCTCATACAAGAGTGCGGATTTTTCTATAACATTCTGTCTTTTCTTTGTAGAACCCTGGTGAAGAGGATACAATGGTTGTGCAGCACATTCTGGCTGTTAGGAAGGGAAAGCGTGAATTGAGGAAGGACCCAGAACCTCAAATTCCTGCTGCGCCAGCTGAAAATGAAATGCCTGATTCCAGTGATAAGGTAGAAACAAAAGATGAATCTCCAAAAACTGAAACCTGTGATAATGGTGAAAAGCCTAAAGAAGATGAAGCAGAAAAGGAAAAGAGTGAAGATGTTGATGCTGTTAAAGCTGATGAAGAGACCACAAATGCCAGTGAGAAGGGTCAACCAGTGACAGATGAATCTAAGAAAACTGACCCAGAAGATGAGGGTGAAGCACAAGAAAAGGAAAAAGTGGATGACGATAAAGACCAAGATGATGACAAGGAGAAAAAGGTAGAGGCAGAGGAAGCAATTAAAAAGGAGGAGGATGGAAAGAAAGATGAAGAAAAGAAAGATGAAGAAAAGAATGATGATGAGAAGGAATGGGTTGAAGTTGATGAATTTTACGTGAAGTACAGAAACTTTTCTTATCTTCACTGTGAGTGGAAAACTGAAGAGGAACTTCTTAAGGGTGACAAAAGAGTGCAGGGAAAGATAAAACGTTTCATGCAGAAAATGTCTCATCTAACGAACATCTTTGAGAATGTAAGTGCTATAATTTACTTGTATTACTATGTCATTTCTGTTCCCTTTTTTACACTTGATATCCATTACAGCTTGAGGAGGACCCATTCAACCCTGATTATGTTGAGGTGGACAGAGTCCTTGATGTGACAGAACAGCAAGATCCAAATACTGGCCATTCAGTTAAGCATTATTTAGTGAAATGGCGCTCACTGCAGTATGAAGACTCCACTTGGGAGCTAGAGGAAGACGTTGATCCTCTGAAAATTGCAGAATTTGAACGATTCCGTAAAGTTCCTCCAAGAGACCAATGGAGGGTAAGAAAACATCTAGCAAGGAATTTATTTTTCTCTTCAATTACCCATGTCATTTTTAACACTGCTCCTCCTGTTGCAGCCTAAGAAGCGACCAGTTGCTGATGACTGGTGTCAGATGGATTCGTCTCCTACTTTTAAGAATGGGAACACATTGAGAGAATATCAGCTAGAGGGATTGAACTGGCTCATGTTTTCTTGGTATAATGGGTAAGTGAACATTTTCAGAACTCTTAGGAAAGTATTGAATGTAGCAATTGTTCATTATGTATTAAATTTTTCTGTACTTGCAGGCGAAATTGTATTTTAGCTGATGAAATGGGTCTAGGAAAAACTATCCAGTCCCTAACATTTGTGTATTCTGTATACAAGTATGGCATCAGAGGACCTTTCCTAGTTATTGCTCCTCTCTCAACAATTCCAAATTGGCAAAGGGAATTTGAAGCATGGACTGATCTTAATGTTGTTGTTTACCATGGATCGTAAGTCAACTCAACAAGTTTCCTGACAATTTAGCAATTCAGACCTTTTAATAATTTATTCTTCTTTTCAGGGGCGCAAGCCGAAATATGCTTATGGAGTACGAGCTCTACTACAGAAATGATAGGGGGCAGACCATTCGTGATATCCAAAAATTCAATGTCCTAATTACCACCTTTGAGATGATCATAACTGATGTTGCTGAACTGAAAAGTTTTAATTGGCGTCTTTGTGTCATTGACGAAGCTCACAGATTAAAGAATAGAAATTGCAAACTGTTGGAAGGTTTACGTTCATTGAAATTGGTATGTATATGTCTTGGAGAATTAATTATGGGTTTTAGCTATTATCTATGAGGTTGTTAATTATAAATTTACTTTGCAGGAACATCGAGTGCTGCTGTCTGGAACACCACTTCAAAATAATGTGAATGAACTTTTCTCCCTTCTTAACTTCCTGGAGCCTTCCCAGTTCACTAGCAGTGAAGCTTTCCTTCAAGACTTCGGTGCATTGAAATCAGAAACTGAAGTTAATAAACTTCAACTAGTGTTGAAACCAATGATGCTTCGTCGACTCAAAGAGGACGTTGAGAAGAGCATTGCTCCTAAAGAAGAAACAGTGGTAGAGGTAAATATCCTTGGCACCACAAGTAAGCATTAGAAATGTGTATTTAATTCCATTCTCACATCAATTATCTTCTGTGTTAGGTGGAACTTACAAATATTCAGAAAAAATACTACAGAGGTATTCTTGAAAGAAATTTCTCATTCCTTGCCAAAGGAACCACCTCTAATAATGTTCCCAATTTGATGAACACTATGATGGAACTTCGTAAATGTTGCATTCATCCTTACCTCCTGAATGGTAAGCATATGTTTGTTTTTTATTTTGTAGTTGAACTTGTGGCTCTTCTCAATATTGGTTAGACTATTTTGTCCTATTTTACTTTTTATTTTATTTATTTTTTTAATTTTTAAACCTAACTTCATTTGACATTTTCTTTCTGCAGGTGCTGAGGATCAAATCCAATGGGATTTTAAAATAGCCAGTGGAGAAGATCCAGATTCTTACTATAAGGCTCTTATCAGTTCCTCTGGTAAAATGGTGCTAATTGATAAGCTTCTCCCTAAACTGAAATCAAATGGCCACAGGGTCTTAATATTCAGTCAAATGGTACGGTGTTTGGATATTCTTGAAGACTACCTTGTGTATCAAAAGTAAGTTCGCTGGTTGCTTGTGAAACTCTGAAGTACTACTGCATTGAAATGTATGTATTTTCTTTACATGCTCTAACATTTTACCTCCCAATCTTAGGTACCCATTCGAAAGAATTGATGGTCGCATCAGAGGAAATCTACGTCAAGCTGCCATTGATAGATTTTGTAAACCGGATTCTGATAGATTTGTGTTTCTTCTGTGCACCAAGGCTGGTGGCCAGGGTATCAATTTAACTGCTGCTGACACTGTTATTATCTTTGACAGTGATTGGAACCCTCAGAACGATTTACAGGTTTGTTTATATTAATTTTGTGAATTATTAGTTATGTTCTTGTTAGTAAATACTAAGATACAAGACTTAATTTTCAGGCTCAAGCTCGCTGTCATCGTATTGGGCAACAGAAGATGGTGAAGGTGTATCGTTTACTTTGCCGCAACACCTATGAACGAGAAATGTTTGACAAAGCCTCTCTCAAGCTAGGTCTTGATAAGGCCATTCTACAGAGTATGAACACTTCTCAGAGTGGAAAAGACGCGGGTAATAGTAAACAGTTGACCAAGAAAGAAATTGAGGACCTGTTAAAGAAAGGAGCGTACGGAGCTATTATGGATGAAGACAATGATGCAGATAAATTCTGTGAAGAAGACATCGATCAAATTCTTGAAAGACGAACCCAGATCATTACCATTGAATCAGAGAAAGGATCCACCTTCTCCAAAGCCAGTTTTGCGTGCTCAACTGCCCGCCAAGATATCAATATTGATGATCCTGACTTCTGGACGAAGTGGGCAAAGAAAGCTGAGATTGATACTACTGAGAAATGTGAAGAGGTACGTTTTGCCTGTCTGTTGATTTTGCACCATAATATCTTGTGTACCTTCATAGTGATGTCTTGCCATGCTAATACTGAGGATGCTGTAGGTATTCGCTGAGTTCAAAGTTTCTCAAGTTATCTGAATGAAGGAACATAGGGTGTTATTGTAGACCTGTAATTTTGAGTAGATTTCTTACTTTGCACTGACCACACTGACCAACATTGCTTTAAACAGTTTTACTTAAATATTCAATTAAATATTCATTATGCTCCATGAATCTTATTATGATGTTTTACCATGCTAATTCTGAGGGTGCTTTAGGCATTCGCTGAATTCTAACTGTGATCTGAATGATTATTTGTGGAGTTTAACAAATTAGTTCTCTTAAGTCTTTTTTTATGAACCTCCATGATGATGTCTAGCCATGCTAATACTGAGGATGCTTTAGGCATTCGCTGAGTTAAACTTTTCTCATAATATCTGAATGGAGGCTGTTTCGCGTAAAATGTCTTGCAATTCATTGTTTGACTTTCATTCATTTTACTATGTTTTTATTGCAGGAAAATTTGGTGATTTCTGAACCAAGGCGACGAACTCAGATCAAGAGATATGGGCATGATGAATCAACCCTCAATATGTCTGAACTGGAATCGTCTAATTCTGATTCTGATGAGGGAGAAGAGGAAGGCCTTGGAAGAAGAGGTAGTTGAACAAGAAACAATCATTCATAGTTTTGCATTTGTTGCCTTCATAAAGTATCACTTTGGCTCATGTTTCTGTTTTTGTGTGCAGGTCGAAAAGGTAATAAGCTTTCTAAGAGCAAAGATAAGAAACATCGGAGACCAGATGACTATGTACCTAGAGAAGGCGAAATTGCGTATGGAAGCTGGGATAGAAGTGAGTGTTTCAAAGTTGAGCGTGGCCTTCTTACTTTTGGATGGGGAAGATGGCAGGAATGTTTGTCAATTAGCCAGTTCCGCAAAGGCTGGACTGACAGAGCGTTTGAAGACTGCGCTAGGGTCATTGTAAGTACTTACTCTTGGTACAGAATATTTATCATGGATACCATTTAGTGCATTACTTAATTGAACCCTCTTTCAGCTTTTGTTCTGCCTACGGTTTTACCGTGGAGATGAGAAAATCCGAGCTTTCATTTGGGATCTTATTACGCCTACAGAGAATGGACAAACAGTCATCCACAAAAATCACATGGGTAAGTAATCTATTTTTCATTTAAATCCGTCTGAAAGCAAACTGTTACCGAACTACAATGCGCACAATTTTAACAGGATTAAATTCTCCTGTCCCTCGAGGTGGTCGCAAACCCAAGAAAATGAAATCTAAAGATGGGCGTAACTTTGGTCAAAATAATATGGATAAAGACCATTGGAGTAGTAGTGAAAAATATGATGGTGACATTTACTTGGAGCCAACATACAAGAAGCATCTTCTTCGTCATGCTAACAAGTAAGTTACTTCATTTCAAAAGGGAAGAACTACTTGCTGAATTTACTGCTGTAATTTCAAATCTTTGTGTTATCTTAATTGTGTAATTCATTTTTTCCTCTTTTGCAGAGTTTTGCTTAGAGTGCGGTTGTTGTATTACATCAAGCATGAAGTTCTTGCTGAGGTGTTGGACCAAATATCTGATAACGTCCCTGTCAGGTAATACAACATTCTGTCTTTCAATTACCTATTAGATCTTGCTTATGCTCACACAGCCCATGCCTCCCATCGCACACACATGGCACCTGAACTTTTTAGCTCTTTTATATCTGGCCAGCTTATCTAAAATGACTAGTGCTTGCTGTCTGTATCTCGTTTCCCTTGAGTATTCAATTATTCCAATTGTGGAGCTCTCTAGAGAAAAAGTAAATGAACCCAATTCTTGTAATCTAATCTTGTTATTTGTGTTTAAATTATCTTCAAATTACTGGTGTTCCAGACACTTTGCTTTGCCATACTGTGCTTTGCCACTATTGTATTCTTCTCTTGTTAGATTTTCAAGCGATATAATTTGCTTAGCGCCTTTACTGATATTTTGCTGTATTCATGCATTTTTTCAGTGCCTTGCCGGTATATCCACCCCCGTGTGAACTGCTCCCTGTGCATTGGTGGGATTCAGATGCTGACCGTTCTCTCCTGGTTGGTACATTTAAGCATGGGTATGAAAACTATGCTGCTATGAGAAACGACCCAGCCCTAGGATTCCTCGCTCGTCTAGGTCCCCTGGATCCAGGTTCTGCTATACTTGGTGAAAGTAGTTCTCTGTAAGTATAGCTCAAATTACATTTTTACTAATTTTTAAGAATTGTACGAAGAGAATCTCATGGTTATCTGTTTTTGTACTCTCAAGACGTGTGTAGTTGATATTTAAAAATTAGTTTTTATTTAGTTGACAATCAATGTAGTTTCTCTACAGGATGCATTAACATAATCTCCTCAAGATAGAATTTCTTTTAAGTTTCAAAGTTACTTGCTTCCTATTTATTCTACCCTACCTTTTGAGCTGCTGTTCATTGCTTCAGCTTCTATAAATAATACAGTTTTTCAGTTTCTCCATTCTTTGCTTGTCAATTGAATATAGGTGGCATGTGAGGAGATCTCTCTTGACAATACTCCCTTGGCTCTGATTGGGAACATCTTATGAGCCATTTTTTTTTTAACACAAGTTAGTTAGTTATCTTGTGTTTATTCTTCAGTCCTGTAATTTAATTTCTTTCCTTGCAGGCAAGATGAAGATAAACTGAGTGATGAAGAGGATGAAGGGCTAGAAAGACGGGGACGTTTGAAAGGAATTTTAAAGACCCCTGAAGATGCAGAGGATTCAAAGGATGCCAATGGGTCTGAAACTTCAAATACAGGGAAATCAGATGATGGCGAGTCAAAGCCAAGTTCTGCTGCTCCTCAATCCCCTGCTTCTGAATCTCAAGCCAATGACGAATCAAAGTCTCTCAACACTCAAGATATGGAGTGGCCATCTGCTGTCGACCTGAACACTCGGTTGCGTCGTGTCATTACAGCCTATCAGCGAAACTTCAAAAAGCAAGAACTTATGCAAATGCAGAAAGCCAAGGTATGTTATACATCAATTTTACTTGTCATCCAACGAATTGTCTTGTCTTTCATGGGATTGATACATGCAGTTATTTGATCAGAACTTCCCTGAACAATGTTATTGGTAATGCAAAGCCTAATTCAAGGTGATGTTATGAAAGTTCCAGATCATTGGGATTTATTAATACATATTTTATTGCTCATTTAGAGACGGCAGAAGTGAATTCCCCGTCTATCTAGCTGTTCTTTCCCCCCTCCTCCCCTTTTTTTCATAAAGTCAGTGAATGCGTGATTTGCCTTTGTGCTCTTCATTGGTAAACTTGAAGTTCTTATTTATGGTTTCTTTCTACTCTCTTCTGCTAGTTTGTAGTTCTGTGTACCAAGTGCTAGTAGATTGTTTTGCGCATTCTTTGGGAATGTTTTTCTTTGCTGTTTATAAATGAAACTTTTCAGGTGTGACTTGAAAGTGAAGTAGAAAAAATTGTTGTTTGCCAGTAATGTTTGTGATTTGAAGTATGATTCTAAATATTTAACTATCTAGGAGTACAGTCAAGAATAAAGTTTTTTGGTGGAGGATTATTGAGCATGCAAGTAGTTTATCAATCATAGGTAGCTAATTTGCCTCAGAAGTTGTTTATGAAAGTTTTTATTTCGGGTACATTTAAATGAAGAGATTGCCTTTTATTTTTATCATAATTTTCATGTATCTTAGCTCATTCTCTAGTTCAACTGACCGCTGTTTTCTAGCTAAAGTTTGACTATCTTGACTATATCATTCAAAAACAACAAAAAAAAATAATTAGGATGTTCTCTTGTTAAAGAAGTGACAAGAGTTAGTGTGGATATTTGTGCATGATAATGTCCCTGTAGTTGACCAAGCTGTCCATGTTGTTGTAGCAACGAGGGGTAGAGGGAGAGCAGCATGCTGTCTTGAGAGACGCTCTGAACACACCCGGAGTGGACTTTCAGCAGCTAGCCATGTATTTATGGGTAAAGTATCTTCATTTAAAAACCCACATTGTTTGCATGGCTCCTGCATGCCCTAGCTGATATTTTCTTTCTTTTTTTTTTCTGTTGCTTGTAGCTTATATCAGTAACAGTGAAGAGCATAAACGCCTGTTCTCACCTTGTGGTTTCTGTCTATCCACATCCATTCATGTACCTCTTAAGATTTCTCTCTAAGATTAACAGCTTAAGACACAAGTAACACCCCTTCAACATGTCCTCTTTTTGTAATTTTATGCTGGATTGTGTGCAAAACCTCCTCTATTGAATTTGTTTTATACCTTCTGATGATCCTTACTAAAACCATACTATATTCTTGATTTTTCTGCCAAATTTGGATACTCTAAAAAGTAAGTAAAACACATGGTTCTTGGCTTTGCTTCCTTCTTGCTGCCTGCACTCAATCTTAGCTCAAGTTACAGCTCAGCCATTTAATTCAATGCCAAGTGCTTTTTGCTGCTCTTTTTAATTCCTATTTGCTGTCTGGCAGTGAAGGAACTCTCCCTTACATCCTTTAATCTATGCCTCATTCTACTCAATCTTTACTACACAGCTTATTGATTCTATTTTCCCAATTCAGTTATGAGCTATTAACAAATAATATGTAAATTCACTTCCAAGCTATATGAATACCATAGCTTGTACTACTTATAGATTGTATTTTCATCAACCGAGCAAACTCTTTGTAGTTTCTGCTTACTCAACCTAATACTAGTCCGAATACTGCTGCTGCTATTTATGCTAAAGCTTTTCTCATTATGGTGTGAAAAGACACCAAATTGCTTCCATTATAGTCAATATATATACTTTCCAATATGTTCAAGTGAATCCAATTAGTATGACTATCCTTAAATATTATGCAATTTACTAAAAGTTCTTGTCTTTTATTTGCAGAAGATGGAACGTCGAGAAAAGATAGAGCAAATTGTGAGGGAGAGAGAACGCCAGCGCCTTGATTGCAGCCAGAGGAAATGGTCTAGACGGGAAGAGGCTGATTTCCTGAGAGCCATCTCCATGTATGGGGTTGAAATTGATCGGTATGTGCCTATTATTTGATGCCCTAAACTTCCTTTTCAGCTCAATTGGATACTTATGTTTACCTCTTTTTACAGGAAAAGTGGTCAGTTTGATTGGTCAAAGTTCCGATTAATGGCCCATCTAGAGAAAAAGTATGACGATACCATGACTGAATACTATCGAGCATTTTGTGCTATGCTGAAACGAACTTGCGGTGTTAAACTAAATGCTGAAGAAGGTATGTATATTTGTGTATTTGATTTACGCTTACTTAGAAGGAAGCAAGAGTTAAATCAATTTATCTTTGTTTTCTTCTTTTAGAACAAAGTGACATGGCTGTGGAACCTTTAAGTGAGGAAAGAGCCAGGAAGGTGCTTGACCGAATGGAGTTAATGAGCAAAATTCGGGAAGACATCCTCCATCATCCTAAACTAGATGAACGTCTCAAACTTTGCAAGACATCTGCTGACATGCCTGAGTGGTGGATTCCAGGTCGACATGATAAAGATCTTCTTGCTGGAGTTGCCAAGTATGTTATCACTTGCTAAAAAATGTTATCATAACATGGTTCAACAGTTTTTCACCACTCTAGCATCTATTAATTGTTCATTGTGCTTTCTTTCAGACATGGACTTGTGCGCACTGACCACTACATTCTGAATGATCCAGAATTATCTTTCCAGAAGATAATTCGTAAACTCCTAGTTGGGGAATCTCTTACCAGCTCTGCTAAAGTAAAGAAAGAACCTGAACAGGAAAGTAAAAATTCAGCGACTGGAATGAAACTTGAGCGTCCAGAGGATATCCTCCGAATGGATAAGGGTGAAATTCTGGTTAAGCTTGAGAAAGGTGAAGGTACTCTGAGCATTGAAAAACTTGGAGTGAAGCCAGAAGTTGATATGGCTGTGAAATCTGAAAAAGAGGATGTCAAACCTCCTGTAGTTAAAACTGAGCCTGATGACAATACTGACAAAGCCAAACAGAACCTTGACAAGGCTGATTCTGAACCCAAGATAGATCTTGAAGAAAAAGAAGTACAACCTAAAGTAGAAGCCAATGATTTGAGTGCCAAGGAAGTAGAAGGGAGCAACACTGAAACTAGCTCTAAAATTGAGAAAACTCCTGAAAACACTGATACTCCTAAGGAACTAGCAGCAGATGAAATCAAGTCATCTGAAGAGAAAATGACTGAGGGTGAAACTGAAGAAAAGGCTGATATCAACACTGAAGTGAAGGAAAAGAAGACTGTTGAAGATGAAGAAATGGAAGTTGAAACTAGTGGAGCAAAGGACGAGGTGAAGGAAAAAGAGACTTCTTCTGAAACCCAGGCTGTTCCCACAGATGAGAAGGAGCCAGAGGAACCAAAGGTTGCTCAGGAGGAAGAGAAGCAATCCACTTCAACAGAGAGTGAAGAGAAACCTTCCGATGAGGCATCTAAAGATTCTAAGACTGAAAACCTAGATGTGGATATGGCTGATGTAGCAAAAGATGATAAAATTGACGAAAAAGGAGCAGAAAAAACAGAGGAGGAGGAGAGTATTGCAGAGAAAGTTGAAAAAGTGCCTGAAAAGACAGAGGTTACCGAAGATTCTACAGAGGGAAAGAAGGATGAACAAACAGAAGAGGAAACTGTTGAAACAGGCAAAGAAAAGGAGGAAAGCCCCACTGACAAGGCTGAAAGTGATGGTAAAATTGAGAAAGAGTCTTCAAAGGAAGGGAGCAAGACTGTGGATGAAGAGCCTAAAAAGGATGTGAAAATAGGTTCACCTTCATCAAAGGAGGAAACTGTTGACACCAAAGATGTTACTGATGGGGTCAAATCTTCATCTGGTGGCCCTGATGTTAAAATAGAGAAGGAAATCCACGGGAAAGTTCAATCAGAATTGAAAGCTCTGTATCCCGATATTGAGGTAGTCCATCCTCTATCACGTCTTCCGGAAATTGACACAATAGTTCTTGATTCTCAAAAGGTTCCGTCATCCCAAGCCACTACAGTTAAACAGTCCTTTACTCCAAAGCCCACTTTTGGAAGTCAACCAGCCTCATTCAACCAGCAGACTTTTGCACAAATTCAACAATCCCTCCAAGGCATGAACAGTGCTCAAGCTCTGCAGCAATTGCAATCCATGGACAAGCTGGACCCCTCTGTATCCCAGCTTCTTGCTCAAAGCTTCCAGAGTCAGATCAAGTGGCCCAAAGACATGGCCATTGAAGCTCGTTTGCAGCATATTGTGCATTGTGTGGAGAAAGGTGAATGGCCTGTGTCAAGAAACTTCTCAGTTTTCCAGTCAACAGTGCCTCAGTTACCTGTTGTTTTGCCTCCCGGAGTTACAGCAACTATTCCTAACAATCACAATTCCGGTCTTGATGTCGATCTTTCGTACATCGAGACAGTGAACGACAGGCGGGATGGTGCCTCAACACCATACTCTGACAGTTCTGATGTCATAACTATCACCACTGACAATGGCTCTATGTCTTCTCAGTACAATCAGTTCATACGGAAGAGGAAGAGACACATTGCCATTGATGTGGAAACTGAAAGAGCCAAGCTCCATGCCTTACTTAACAGTACAAATTCTTCAAATCAACACCAGTCTTCCCACATGGGCTACAGAACAGAGAGAGACAGGTTTGATAGACAAGATAGAAATGATAGACATTATGAAAGGCCCTATGATCGTCAGCAGCAACAAAGAGAGCAGATGGAACGCCAGCAGCGTCAGTACAAGGAGCTAGAACGCCATCAGCTTCTTGATAGACATCAGCTCGACCGAGTTCAGCAATCTGATAGAAGACAACCTACACCTCAACCCAAGCAGTCACCTCTCTCTTGGGATGACGAATCTCCCTCTGATGACTCTCGTAGGTCTACACCAGCTCATCAGCCGCCGCCTGCTCATCAGCAGGGTCCAAGGGTGATATCAATGCCATATGATCTTGGTAAATTTACGATGCCTAACAAGCCCAAGCCTACACCTCCACCCACAGCCTCACCAGCGCCCAGTCCATCTAGTAGTAGTGGCGCTATGGATTTGTCTGGACCTCCCAAGTCAAAGACTCCAAGTGAAGACTCTTATGGGGCAGGTGGGGAAGATGAAGCCCAAGACTTCTCTATGGGCAGGAAACGTAAGAGCAGCAAACTGGATGACATGTTGGGTAAGCTAATGCAGAAGAAGAATGTACCTGTCCCAGCAGATGAACCTGTTGTTGGAAAGGAAATGAAACGCAGAAAATTGGATGAGATTGTCATGGGCTTATCAGCAGCCAAGGATACTATGCAGAAGCGGCGATCGCCCACACCCATGATCCCTCCCGGAGTTACTGTTACTCCGGCGTCGTCGTCATCTAGGACACCAACTCCTACTCACTCGTCTTCTGGGTCCTCAAACAAACCTCCATTTTCAATCACTGTTACTTCAGTTCAGCACCCACATTCTTCCTCAAATCAGTCATCATCTCGTAATACTTCAAGCAGCAATACAAGCAGCAGCGCCAACCTTGCCAAGGACTCCTACTCATACCTTGCTCAAGCAGAGCAACACAACCTGCTGCTGAAACAGGTAAAATTCTGATTCTGATAAATATACTTTCATTTGTCATTGATTTGTTGCTGAAAATTACCTTAAAATTCATTTACAGCACCAGTTGCAACAGCAAATTCTGCAGCAGCAGAAACTCTTGCAGAGTACCACATCGAGCTCTGCACAGCGTAAGGCCTACGAGCAAATCCTTGCAGATGTGAACAAGGCTGCAGAACTAAGCAAAATCAACTCCTACTCGCATGATGCCAAGGTAAAGAAATGTTTGAAAATGTTGATTACGCTTTCACAATATTTTGATGACTGCTTTCTCACTTACCTTGTGTAATTTCAGGTGAATAAATGGCTTTCTGAGCAAGCTGCTGCTGAGGCTGCCGCTGCTGCAGGCCTGGGAGATTTCTTGCCCAGGAAGAGGAGACCTCGCGTTGATCCCACCTTACTTGACTGGAAAAAGCTGACCGGGGAGGAAAATGTGTCTGTTATCAATAGATTAACAGGAAAGAAGGTGGGTTGATAGATTGGTTGATAGATAGGTAAGATGTTTCTCACTCATGCGTGCAATCGTCACAAACGTATTTCGTTTTCTTTTTCTCTAGCTGACGGGCAACAAGGCGCCTCCGCTGAAGCACCTCGCCGCCTGGCTGCTCGAGAACCCCATGTTCGACGTGGACCCCAAGTGGGCCGAGCTGGTGAAGGAGCGGGGGAACCTGCCTCACGACCTGCAGAAGAGGGTGCCCGGCGGCGAGCGCAAGAAGCCCGGGCGGCCGCCCATCATGGCCAGCCCGACGAGCCAGGCCGCGTCCAGCAGCGCGTCCGCCCTGAACTACCAGGGCCTGGGCTCGCTCAACCCCAGCCTGCTCAGCATGGCGCAGAGCAACTTCCTCCTGCCCTTCGCCGGCCTGCCCAACATGAACGCGGCCGCCTTGGGCAGCATGGGCGGGCTGGGCAACCTCAGCAACCTCGGCCTATCCAGCTCGCTGTTCGCCAACCTGGCGAGCCTGGGGCTCCCCGGCCTGTCCGGCATGGACGCGGCCGCGTTGACGGAGCTGCTGGCCTCGGCCGGCACGACAGCCACCCCAACCTCCGGCTCGTCGGCCAGCATGTCCTCCAAGAAGACGGACTCGCACGGCGACAAGGATCGCGATCGCAGGGATGACCGTTCGCGCGATCAGGAGCGCTCTCGTGACCGAGGGTCAAGTTCTACCATGACGAGCTCGAGCGCGGCGACGAGCACGAGCAACTCCAAGACGTCGTCCAGCGCCTCGTCGATGCCCTTCATGTTCCCCAACCCGAACCTCCTGTACTCGCCGCTGGGTCTCGGGGGCCTCAACCCGTTCAGCTACGACGCGCTGGCGCAGGTGGGACTCCTGAACGGGAGCCTCGCCAGCACGGCGACCACCTCTTCCAGCTCGAGCATGTCGCGCTCGAGCTCGTCGGCGGCCAAGACCCAGAGCAGCAGCAGCAGAACGTCGGCGCCCATCACCTCGGCGTCCACCGTGGCCGCGAACAACCGGCACCAGCGGGAGGCTCTAGAGCGGCAGCAGCAGCTGCAGTCGTTCCTGCTCCCACAGGACACGAAGCTCTTGGAGAGCCTGAGCAGCAAGTCATCCAGGCTGGGCTCCGACGCGTCCAGAGCGGACGACCGTGGGGCGCGGCGGTCCAAGGCGGAGGCCGACAACCTGCGCCACCTCATGGCCGGCGCTGGCATGTCGCCCTTGGCCTACACGTCGAGCGACAGCAAGCGCGGCAGCTCTGCCAGCCAGGGCCTGGAGGCCTCCATGATCAACAGGCTGTACGACTCAGTGACGGAGCAGATGCGCTCGGACCCCAGGATGAGGGAAGCCCTGGAGAGCATGACGAGGGGCTCGTCGAGCAGCAAGGACGCCATGAAGGACGTCATGATGAAGACGGCCCTCGAGAGCTTGACGCACTCGTCCTCTCGGGGCGGCAGCAGTAGTAGCAGCACGGACCCGTACGCCAAGTCCCGGGAGTTGGTCATGAAGGAGGCCATGGACAAGTACGGCCACGTTCCGACGGATCTGCTCATCGGGAGGAGTGACAGGAGCATGGGGTCCAGCTCGGAGAGGAGCAGTGACCGTGGGGCCACCGACTCGACCTCAAAGCGTCCCCGGGACGCCGTGGTGAAGGAGGCGTTGGAGAGCCTGGGCCAGAGCTTGGCTTCGGGTGCTCTCGCCAAGCAGAGCCGAGAGGCCATTCAGATGGCAAGCCTGCTCGGGAATCCTTCGTGGGACCTCGTGATGCGCGGAGCTGGGACCGACGATCGGAAGAGAAAAACTGCAGAGGCTCCCATGGAGCTGATCTCGCCAAGCAAGGGCGAGAGTAGATCAAGTGGGGACAGATCTAGAGACGATAGGTTAGACAAGGAAGACAGGGTGAAGGACATGAGGTCCAGGAAGGAGGATGAAAGATCTTGGTCTGAAGAGAAGTCGAGGAGACAAGAAGCCGAAATGAGAAAAGCTTCGGACGACAAAGGAAAGGCGAGGGCACTGGACGCCCACGACCTGACAAAGGGCGACCTGGCCGACCTGTCCCGGAAACTACCGGCCTCGGACCTTTCCATTACCGTGACCGAGAGAAGTAGCAAGCACAGCAGGGAAGTTGTCGGTGAGGTGAGCGACATTCCAAGCGAGCGGCCTTCGAAGCGCCCGCGAGAGGCGGACGACGCTGGAGAGGCCGCCGTCCTGGACATGGCGGCGTCGTCCAAGAGGGCGAGGGAGGAGAAGGTCGAGGACGCTGCTCAGGACAAAGTGGCCGTCGAGGACGCGCCGCCCCCAGCAGGCGACACCGTTCCGGAGAGTGCGCCGGACGCCAAGAACTCCGAGCTGGAGGCCCCTCCTGGGCAAGAGGAGGCCGACAACGAGGAGCAGGGCAAGGCGCGAGGTGTTCGCCGGCGCGGAGGCAGTAGTAGCAGCAGCAAGGGCAAGTCCCCCGAGGACGACTCGCTTGTGGAGCGGAAGGTGTTGCGCAGCAGTGCTGGCCGAGCTGCGGCGGCCGCGGCTGCGCGCGCTGCACGCGAGCAGGCGGCGTCCACCACCGGGACCGGCCGCTCGAGGGAGGAGTCAGAATCTGATGAGGCATAGGCGGAACTTGCCATCACTAGAATCTTGAAAACTTCTATTTTCACTTTTGTATCATAATGTTTGTTTTTTAGAATTAATAGACTTCGATGCAAAAATGTGTCTTTTTAATGAAATGAAGTGTGTATAGTCTAAATTCTTCTCCATATTCAATTTTAAATTGTCTTGTTTTTATTGTCTGAGAGTTGGGTGTATGTGCTGCTAGCTTATTGTGTCCCATTGTTTATCTCCTGTATATTTTGATATCTTTTAATCTTTAAGGTGGTGTACGTAGAGCTGTTGAGGTTACGTTTACCGAGCATGGCTGTGTTGTGGAAGGGGAGCAGCAATAGTCTTATTGCATTCACAATGTGGCTACAATGCCACTTAGTTCCCAGTTTTTATCCATAAATTTTAGCTCATTTGTTTGTGCTGCTTCTTCTTCCCAACCAAACACATTGCCATGTTGCGTATTGTATATAATCATAAATTTTTGCATCAAAGTCTTGTATTTCTTTTCTAGTTATTTGACTGTGCATTCTGTGATAGCCTTTCCTCCTCAGAAAAGTTGAATATTTAACTGGTAGTGTGTATGATGAACAATTGTGGAGCTGGAGGCCATTTTGAGTCCTATTCTTTGGCTTCTATTTATTTAGCCAAAAAATAAAAGATTATCACTGTAGTATTCTTTTTTATATAATATATATATACATAATACATATATAAATATATGTTTATTTTGGGGACAAATGGACTTGTTTTAAGGTTGCCTTTTTTTCCGTTTTAAAGAAAACTGACGTTTCTAGCTTGGAACTATTTCTTAATTTATTTGTCTGTTGACCAGTCTAACTGCCTGCCCATGTGTTTAAATGATTAATGTTACAGTATTGGTGATGTAAGGCGCATTGTTTAAGCGCATGTCAGGTGATTGAATCAATTTTGTATTGTTCTTGTCCAAAAGTGTGTTGTGAAATGTACATAGCTAGTGCTGTAAGCTTGCTCTGATCATGAATTTAGGAATTGTAAACATGTAAAGAAGTGGATGTGACTTGAACTTACATATTGCAGCAGCAGCTAAGATGAGAAAAATCATTAGGATGAAATTGTTGCATAGTGTTATTAGTATTTATATTCAACGTACAATCAAAGCTTAAGAGAAATGAATTTCCAACCCATATGAACTTTGTACAGAAAAGTACTATTTGAGTGTGCACATTTTATTTGCAAATATATCCTTACACCTATTTTATTTTTCTGAGAGCTTTGTTCAGGATACCCATCAATCCCATGCTTTCCAATTGATACAGGCACATCACAACTTGCTACTCTATAGCTTGGTTCAAGGCTCTTCCATCTTATCTCTTTTTCTTTTTTTTTTTTCTACAACAGGCTTAGCTTCATGTGTAAACTTGGTGTCTAAAATATTTACCCTTGGCTGCTGGGTAAATAAGTGTTATGAAACTATTGATAATAAATACTCTTACAGTATTATATTAGTTGTTTGTTTTTCATCCTTTTACTTTTCACCCAAAGTAGAAGAGCTGAGGAAAATCACTCAAGAAAATTTCAGAGGGGCAATAAAAGTTTATTGACCCTTTCATTTTTTTTACAGCTTTAAACATTTTTAAACTAAGTTTAAGCTTGCAGTTGCCTCATAATATCCATTGCTTGCTGTTGAATAGCGGCGAGAGAGATCAATAGTCTCCACTGTAATTTCTCCAAAGGAATACTCTTGAAACTTCTTTAGAATTGAAGAAGCATCAAAAGATTCACGCGTCCTCTTCAGATTTTCTCCCTTATTAGCAACATCTGAATCAGCACCCTCTCTTCGAAAGATAGAATTCATGAGAGTCACATGCAGTTTTACAGAATCAAACTGCTTAGGCATAAGACCTGAAAAATTAAGTCATGGCATAAATTCAGCTGCAAAACAAAGGTAACTTCAAAGTCACAGCTATAGAAAAATATAGACCTGTTTTTGAAAAATATTTGATAATGTCATTGGCAAGTTCTTGAACAACAGGCTCCTGATTAAGATCCTCCACTTTGCCATATAAGACATCAACTTCTGCAGGATCGTCATTCATGTACTCAATACCATAAACTCGCAATCTCAAGGTACCTTTCTGCAGTAAAGGTCTAGAACAGAAAGCGCGATTTAGCATAGATTGACTGTAATTTGGAGAACACTTAAAAATATTCAGCATACTTACTCTACTAGGTCCTGCTTGCAGTTCAGAAGAGCTTGGGCTGCCTTCTTCCTATCATCATCATCCAGAAGAACAAGAGTTCCAAGGGTGATGTGCAATTTATTTGGATCTTGAAAGATGTCTTTTCTAATGCCACGTCCTTTACATTCATTTAACACTTGTTCCTTGAAAACAGAAGCTCATAATAATGTAGCAAAACGTCTCTAAAAAGTGGAACTTTAAAAATATTGTCACTTAATTTACCTGGAATTTTAAAAATCCACTCTTAATGTTTTCATTGTTTACTGGCAAGGAGAGGAAATGAGTAAACTGCTGCTTTTGTCTTGCTGTCAGAGCAATCAGCTCCATGCGACGTCTAGCTCGTACAATGCTTTCTCTAGTTGTACCAGTTACAACTGAAGGATCAATGTTTATCGTGATATTGAATTATTCATGAAGAGATGTTGGATTATTTATTAGTACAAAGTAATTTTGCTTACCTATGTCCTGGTCAAGTCCTTTTTTAGGAATTCTGATTAACGCCTTAGTTTCCTTTTCTAAGCGAGCTCTGGTTGCTCCTTTTGGTCCAATGAGTACTCCATGTAGTGACCTGGAGAGAAAATAAACATAAGATGCGGTCGTAAGTATGATAATACTTCACAGTTTTTGCCCTGAGATATAATTAATAAAACCTATTTTGGGGGAATACCTTGGAATATGAAAGGACGTCTTCAGTCTTCCAGACTCAGCTTCTTCTATCTCATAGTCGTTGTCAGAGCAATCATCATCTCTTCCTGGGGTAGCGACAATAAGTTCATTGATTGTTGATTGAAGTCAGATTTGAAGACAAGGTACAGAGAGTAAAAAAATATTGTTAAATTGTTCAAAATTATTTGTGAAAACTAATACGAACCATCAAGATACTCCTGCTCGTCATCTCCATAGCCGGTATATTCTGAATCAAAATTTGATAAACTTGTGCTTTGTCCATAAAGCCGATAGCAGCGTCCTTTAATCCATATAACATTTGGTTTGGTAATGTCCATCTTATGCCTGTGTGGGCAAATGTTTTTATCAGATTTTACTCCTTGATTTCACTGGAGAGGAGGAAAACCCAGGCAGATGTACGGTGAAGTACACTTTTACAACAAACTGTATGCGCAAAGAAAGTTGTCTTTTCGTAGAGACCCATCAAAAACTAGAAAAATGTTTGTCGGAACTGAAACTAACCTGATTACAACTTAGCATTTAAAGACGTCAAAAAGTGACGTTGCCGGTTGTCGACGGTGTGTATTTTCCACTATCGAATCCCTATCAGTTGTACTTATTATGACGCCAATAAAAAAATTCCAACGAGCATGAGATATATTAAATCATCTTCAGGTCATTTTCCTCACAAATGCATAAAATCAACACATCATAAGAGTCGTAACCTAACCTAACTTGTTTATATTTTGTTTGCAAGGTTTGATCTTCACTGTAAACTTAATTTTTGCGTGTCATCCTAATCTGAAGGTTTCATTTTTATTTAACAGAAAAATTTATTGTTACTACAATCCCATCATTTTTTAAGCATGGATCCTCTTCAATTTGGTGGTGATGATCCTGGAGCAGTAACATTGGGTAACTTCATTAATTATTATGAGTTCCACCCTCCAGAAGAACGACTGAATTTACTTCCTGATAATCTATTGTTGGATAGATTGAATAGACCTTATGTCTTTCTTGACATAGGCTGCAATACTGGGGTGAGTGCTTGCATCTCTCTCTATCTTCGCTTCAGAATTTTGTTTATGACATGAACGCTTTGAATTTGTTTTAGGCATTGACCACAAGGCTATATGAAAAACTATTACCATCCATCAAGAGTAAAGATTCTTGTTTAGAGTCCTCTGAAAATACCTGTCATATGCTTGGTATTGACATTGATCCTGTTCTCATTGAAAGAGCTCACGGGTTGAACACTCATGCTGATCGAATTACATTCGCATGTTTAGACTTCATGTCTGAAAGAAACAATGAGGTGTTCACGCAGCATCTATCTCAATGTGGGGGACGGTTTGATGTTATCTTTTGTTTCTCAGTTTGCATGTGGATTCATTTAAATCATGGTGATGATGGTTTGAAAAGGTTCCTTCAAGATATTTCAGATATGGCAAAGATTATTGTAATTGAACCTCAACCTTGGAAATGCTACAAATCAGCTGTGAAAAGGTTGAAAAGATGTCATAAAACATTTCCTCTGTTTCAAAATCTTACCATTCGAGAGCAAGTTGAACAATTTATTGAGGACTTTTTGGTGACAAAATGTTTCTTCACAAAGATCCACGAGTCATTGGAAACAAAATGGGGAAGGAAATTACTAATTTTCAAGCAAAACCAAGACACTGGAAGATAAGTTAAATTACATAGTTTTGTTATAAAATGTCAATAAATCTTTGCCAGAATAAATTAAAAAATAAACTAGCAATACAGTATTTGTCTAAATTTAACTAAGACTATTTTATTTATGAAGCCTGGCAATTCAAAATGGATTTGAAATAAACAAAGGAAGTTGCAATTAGACAATTTTACAGTTGGAGGATGGGGTTTCATGCTATAGAAGTGCATGATTGAGACAATTTAAAAAGTTGATGATCCAGCACATTAAAGAAAGTAAAGTCCTACGACATAGTTTTAAAAGAAATATGTACAAATAAACCTAAACAAATCAAATGGCTATCCAGATAGCCATTGAATTTTAATAGCTCTTCATGATGCAACTTCTTCTGTGGGTCCATCAAATTCCAGCTTGACATCTTCATTTAAGCCTTCAACGTCAACTTCAGACTCTGTAGCATTAAGCATGTTAAGAGTAACTTCTCTGCTCATCAATTGCTGTTGTTGGTTAACTGATTGACCTGATGCTGCTTGAATTTGTGGTCTTACTTGCAGTCCTGCATCTTCAAATACTTTTTTCTTTAATGTTGACTTAATTTGACTCCTGCAAGCAGAAAATAATTTCATTATAATGTGTGTCAATATGGCCCGAAGAAATTGAGAAAGGGCATCAGCTGCTTTGATCTGAATATTTACTTAGGCCAAAGTGGAAGCCAACTTACACAGTTTTTCCTTTGATATGTTCACAAATCCGACTAAGTTCGTCCCCAAACATTAGCACAGCATGCCGGAGCATCTCAATTTCTTCGTCTGTCCATTTACTGCAGGAATAAAGCAGTTTTAAGACGACAATGTTTAACAATCTGGTGACACGAGATCAAATTAACAAACATTTCAAGCTTACCCAGCAGGTGAGTCGGCTGTTGGATGAAGCTGCATAGTCAGTTCTCCTAATTTGTTGAATGCGTTGCCGGCAGCAGTGAAAATTTCACCAACCTAGGTACAAAACAACATGAGTGATTATAAGGAATTATCTAAACAGAATGAAATTTCAAGTGCAGATAAATGTTGGAAAATTTTGAGCATGTAGAATTTTTTAAATACAGATTTATGCAAGCCTAAGGTTAGGTTAACGTGAATGCCGGGAGTTACAAGGCACGCAGTTAAGCGAATATTTCTTCGACGCAATCCTACGAAACTTGAAAAATTTGATTTACCTTGCTAGCAGAATTCATTGTGCTCTTTAAAAGGGTTAACTGGTTGCGAATGCTAAATAAAACCGTAAAGTAACGACGTTTCTCAGTTCGCGGTTTTTGTTGTTGTTGTGGTTGGCTTTCTCGAACTATATCGATCGAATCGAATTTGAGTTCGAGAGGAGAGGGGTGAGGGGTGGTGGAGGGGGCAAAGGGTGAAGTGTGAAGAAGGCAGCGGGGAGTAATCAATAGCCTTGGTGGGGAGGGGTTGTCGGCTGGTTTGTTTCTATACACATATGTTTTCTTTTGTATGTATACTTATCGCTCTGCGCAAGTGACGCGAACTCCCATGTGTGCGAGCATGAGGGGCATGTGAACTAGTTTGTCGAATAAGTGAAGGGGCATATTCGTGCCTAACGCACAGAGGGTACGGGTGATTCAAAGAAGTGCTCTTTGTTGTGGTTATCGTGTATGTGCTACTTTACGGTAGAATTTTAATCTGGTAGTTAACTAAAAAGCTCATTGTTCAACAGATATTTGATTTTCTTACTTGTTTGAGTCTACTCGTGAGAAGCCATGGATGATATATCAAGAGTAGAATCCGTGAACGCCCCAACTTCCGAAGATGACTCTGAACAAGAGCAGCAGGGTTGTGGAGGCAGCTCTTGCTGCAACCCCAAGAGCTGCATCTATAGATTCTGTGGACTTGTTTTGATGTGCCTTTTAGGTTTTGGTATGTGCTCTAGTCTTAAACTGTAATCTTTTTAGAAATTCATTCCCCAACCCTATTGAACTACTAAGGTGCCTATATCCATAGCCTATCACTACCCCTATCATTGAGTAAACACCATGACTCATGATAGTTTGTGTGTTGTCTGTACACATCATATTTCCTCTAATCCCACCTTTGCCACATCTATGTTATAATTCTATTTTATTTCAAAAATGTATTGAGAAAATATGTCTTGTTTCAGGTTCCTATTTCTGCTATGACAATCCTGCTGCCCTTCAGGATAACTTTATGCAAGATTTAAAGATAAATACTAGTCAATTTGTCTATTTGTACTCATGGTATTCATGGCCCAGTGTTGTTCTTTGTGTCGTGGGGGGATTCCTCATGGACAGGTAACAGTAATCTTGAAGTGATATATTCTGTACTGATCTCAAGATGTGTTGTGATCTTGATTTAGAAGTGATAATAACTGTATTACATTTTCAGAGTATTTGGAATTCGTCTGGGAACCGTCATCTTTGCTCTGCTGGTTGTTATTGGTGTGTCAATTGTTGCTCTAGGAGCAATTTTGAACAAATTTTGGCTCATGGTTGCTGGCAGGTTTATTTTTGGGTATGCAATAGATTAACCTATATTCATACCCATTTTCCTTTTTCTCTGTGTCAAAAGTATTAATCTAATGTTATTTTATGTTTGCAGAATTGGCGGAGAATCGCTAGCTGTAGCCCAGAACACATATGCAGTCCTTTGGTTCAAAGGCAAAGAGTTAAACATGGTGTTTGGTCTCCAGATGAGCTTTGCTCGAGTTGGGTCAACTGTCAATTTCAGTGTGATGGAGCCCATTTACCGTTGGGTCAATACCTATTATGAAGGATACACTTGTACAGGAGTGGTACTTTTCTTTGGTAGGTCATTTCATTTTTCATTAGCTGTGTGGTTTCTTAAATTTTATTATACTCTTATCCTCACACACTCCGCTTCTTTTACAGCGTCTATTACTACTGTTGTATCTCTTCTTAGTACTATAATTTTGGCGTGGATGGATCGAAGGGCAGAAAGACTTTTGAAACGCAGAGATAATCAATCTGGAGAAGTAGTACGCATTACAGACATCAAAGATTTCCCTCTAAGCTTTTGGATGATAGCTCTTGTGTGTGTTGCATACTATGTTGCTATTTTCCCATTTATTGCCCTTGGAAAGTGAGTGGATTAATTTACTTTTCACATTTCATGCATTTAATCTGTTTACTAATTCTGGAGTCTATTGTCCCTACCAGAGTGTTTTTCATCAGAAAATTTAATATGACTCCTGATGAAGCAAACACAGTGAACAGTATTGTTTACACAATTTCTGCTGTTTCTTCACCTCTCTTTGGTATTGTGGTGGATAAACTAGGTCGTAACTTGATATGTTGCTTTGTATCTATTCTTGTGACAATTGCAAGCCATGCAATCTTAGCCTTCACATTCCTCAATCCATTTATTGGAACGGTAATTTTTGCTGCTATTTCATTCTTTTTGAAGTATTTTGTGTTGTAGATTTTCCTTGACAATGATATGCTTCTTTTACAGTCTCTCATGGGACTTGGATATTCTATGCTGGCCAGTGGTTTGTGGCCAATGGTGTCAATGGTTATTCCTGAACACCAGCTTGGAACTGCATATGGAGTGTAAGTAAAGTGGTTGTCAAAAAACAATAATTTTAAATTCTATCTAAAACTCTTAATATCAATCGATGTTCTACTTTTAGCATGCAATCCGTTCAGAACTTAGGCCTTGCCTTGATCACCCTAGTGTGTGGTATTATTGTTGATAATGGCGGATACCTTATGCTGGAGATTTTCTTCCTTGCTTGCCTTTGTGGTAAGTGTTTATTTAATTTTTCTATTGCACCCAAAATAAAGTCTTTTGGTCAATACCCTCCTATCGTTTGTTTCTTTCTTTCCAGTGGCTCTTGTCACAACAGTTGTGATATATCTTTATGATTCAAAACATGGAGGAATTCTGAACATGTCTGCTGACGACCGTGAGGTTTATGAGAAGAACAGGATGTATGTCTCCAAAAATTTTGCCTTTACCGAACATAAAGTATCTCAATCTCATTACCTCTTTGAATATTAACATTTTCTTCATCTGCTTCTTCTTTTAGTTCTGCGGAGGACCTTGAACGAGAGAAGTTAGTAGCTGCTGGATCTATGTCTGATATCACTCCTCAAGATTTGCTTCAACCACATTCCGATTTCCACATACGGAATCGATATCTATCTCGTATTGGAGCGAATGTAAGCTATTCTTCGTACCAGCCTGTTTTTACATCAAAGAAATTTGTTTAAAGCATTCTAATTATGGCTTTTGATCTTGCAGCTACCATCTCACTATAATGAGAACCAGAAAGGTCTTGCATACAGAGCCCTACGATAAAACAGTGATGTGTTGACAGAGTAATACCAAAGTTGGAGTGTCATGATGACAAATGGCATTTTGTGAAGAAAAAAAAGATTTTCCTGCTTGATATGTAACTGTGATAAGTTTCAACTGCGTAGCACCATCTTGCCCAATTATTTGGCAGTGTTTCGTGATTTATTTTTACATCTGTGTTTTGTTTAAGTTTATTTTGTAGTCCATATAGTTTATATCTATGAACAAAAGTTACACAAATGTGGTTCGATTTTTGGACCAGGATTGACATTAGGAGAGTGACTTATGGCAAAATGTTTGTAGCTACCTACCTATTTTGTTTGGTTTTCTAGCAGGATAAAGATTTCTTGAAGACGATGAATTGATTTTAATCCATTCAAATGTTATATATTTGACGTTCTTGGAAGTCATCTTATTTTTCCTCTCAATGGCCATATTTTTAAAATGATGAAATCAATTATCCAGAAGAATCTCGCGGAAAAGTTTTACTGACACTAGTTCCAGAGAGAAATAACTGTGTAATTATTTATTAACATTCCAATTTAATTATGAGTAAAAAGAAGATGTATGTTATGACAGAGTTGTATTTTTGTGGGACTTTTAACTATGGTTATTTTAGCAGATAGTTGCCAATATCAATTCTTGTGAAACCCAACACATTTCATAATCATGTCTTAAATTATTAGATTGATAGTTGACTGCTATGCTTGGTGTGTTATGTAAAACCAAATGAACTGACATCAAGACAAACTATGGGCTCAGGGGGAATTTGCATTTTATGTGGAAAGTGTTCTGGCATTCCTGCTTATTTTACTGAATCTCTAAAGTTGTATATCACTCGTCAGTAGCAATTTCTATCAATTGATAAGTGGGCCAAAGTGCATATACACTTTAGCAAAAGAATATTTTTGAAACCCATTTATTAGTGCTGTAGACTAATTTTACCTAAACATTGTGTGTGGGAAAAGGTTTTATGGCAACTGAATTTCCTCAATTAGTCCTTTTTGCCCTCTTGAGTTTACTTTTAGTCACATAAACTTGCAGAAACTGTACAATTTTTTTACTGGATTGCATACAGAAGTCATTTTGTTTTAAGTGTTAGATGTGTAGTCATATCTTGAAATTTGCATGACTTAATGTAATTTGAAATTGAATTTATTTTTTACTGTTGAAGTGTTCTTTTTTCAGTATTATGGCAGGTCATTGCTTCTATCAAGGCGTGTGATGTGTAATATTAAGAAAACCCTTTGAGTGTAACCATATCTAGGTGTGAAAGTTGCTGTCTGATTTTTTTAATTTTAATGCATAGATGTGTGCGCTTGAGAGGTCAAGTTTATCACAGTTTGTGGAGGGGTGTTTTTTCATGTTCCTTTGTGAATACCCAAGTATACCTACATATATATCTATACATATTCTACCAACATGTTTGTTGTGTACTAGTATTATTACATTTTGTTGTATTTGCATGCTTGAAAATTATGGACATCCTACATTTTATTGAGATCCTTGCATTAATACCTAATAGATATCAGTGCAAAAGTGTGCCAACTATCTCATATTAACACATATATAAGAGATTATTCTATGTTGTTGATTGGAGACCTTTCACACTTGCTTCTGTTTGGCTTGCACACTGTCTTAGACCTATTTTGACTAGCTGTACATTTTGTACCTTAAATCTTCCAACAAGTCTGCCCAAATAGAAGGGAGTTATAATTTGTGAGTTAACCTGTTCTCTTATACAAGTCTATGAAATGGCTGCATCATCATATATTTTAACGGTAATAAATTTCTGAATCATGAAGTAAGTCTTCAATTGTAATGTAAATCTCTCTCTTTATTTCATTTCATTTCTTGAGCAACAACAACTTTAAAAGAAGGCAATTCCCAAGGTATTTGATTACAATTCTAGTGTGTCAGAGCCTATATCTAAAATAGCAAAACTGTGACATGCACCTGTACCAATGAGATTAGCCTTGTTTTGCAGTCCAGCTTGAATCAAAGTGGGCTCAAGAACATTTTCTTGTGTACCCACTCCACAGTTACCATGTTCATTCCATCCCCAACTCATAATACTGCCCGTCTCTGAAAGTCAATCACAGGAGAAATCAGACAACAAGAAAAGGCTCACATATTAATTGGACTAATGGATTATTAATGTATTGTTAATAGGTATCTTACAACAACATACCTGTCAGTATAATATTATGTTCAGAGCCAACTGCAATTTGCTTAATCCTTTCATCAATACTTAGAAGTGTTGGATTCCAGGATACGGCTCTCCTCCTTCCATTATTGCTTAGTTGTCCATATGTATTTCGCCCCCAATTTACCACTTCCCCTTTGTCTTAAAAAAAAGCAGTATTATTGGAAAAATACTCAAAAATGTGAAAAGGCATTGATGAGGAAGGGTTCCAACCTGTGAGAAGTACTGAATGCGTCCAGCCTGCATAAACAGAAGACGGATCTCCTTTCACACCTGTTAATGCTGACAGGGAAAGTTCTTGAGGCTCATAGACCACTGGTTGAACAGTGGAATCCAATCCTAACTGTCCAAATCTGTTGTCCCCCCACACAAAGATTTTGCCAACATCTGATAAAGCAATACAGTGATGCTGACCACATGAAATATCTATAATGTTGCTTAACTGTGACACTGAAACAAGAAGATAGGTAGCATATTGGGAAAAACATCAATATAATTAGTAGTACGAGAAGAACCATTTAAACACACCTTCAGTCAATGTGCATATCTCTGGGAATGGATGACCGTTGGAATCTACAAGACCAAGTTGGCCTTTACTTCCACTCCCACAAACAAAAACTTTGCCATCTTCCGCAACTAAAGCCAAATGTCGTAGACCGAGAGAAGCCCGTTTGACTTTTGCAGACGGTACATGTTTGGGAGAATTTAAACAGCTGAACTAAGGCAGAAATTTCAGATTAATGGTAATTTGATTCATTTGTAGTAACAATTAATATTAATAGTTCAGACTTTACCTTTTGTTTAGGTAGTGCTAGTTGACTGTAACTATTTGAGCCCCATACTAGTAATGAACCATCAGCTGCCACTGCCAGACTTGAGTCCCAGCCACAAGCTAATTGGATTATTTTATTTGGAAGTGATTCAACTGGCCGGAAAGTCGTCACCTCATGTTCTGCTACTCCTACTTGACCTTTGTTATTCCATCCACATGAATATGTTTTTCCAGCTCGATCAAGTACCAGAGTGTGACCACCCCCGCCAACAATAGATGAGATATTAGAGGGATCCAAGTTTGAAATACTAATTTCAGTGGGTGTGCAGCATGCCTCAGACACTACGTTTTGGCCCAGCTGGCCATGCGAATTGGCTCCCTGGAAATGTTGGCAACATATTAGATAATTATATTTGTTTGATGGATCGAAAGACCTTGAAACATTGCTATGGAAAATATTCAGTCATATTTTTGAATTATTTTAGACTAATACAATTAAAAAATTAAAATAAAAAGATAACAAATGAGAAACTGTGTAATGTAACTGAATTTTAGCCATCTTGATGGAAACATAGATTCATTAAGATAAACTTCAAACCAAAAGAATTGACAAAAATTTGGTTACCCATGAGTATAGCTTCATTATTCTCCAATGGTATTTGGAGGGTTTCAAGAATTAGCGACCATATTGATCGATCGATTCTGATGCTACTTCAATTTTGAGTCGACAATCTTAGGTTGTTCAACAGGGAAGACCATAGATGCTGCATGAAGAATTTATTCCACCGCAGATAAACTTTTGAATTTCACCACAGCACAGCTGTCCACGCTCTCGTCTGCTAATCATGTTGCCATGGGAGCACATATAATCAGAGTCCTTATGTTATCAACTTTCGTTTCCCTGTAGCATCTTGTATTTTCTTCGAAAGTCAGAATTTAATTAATTGAGCTACTTTGCAGTAATCTTTCAGCTTTTGAGGCAAATGTGTAAAGTTGCTATGTAAATATTGTGTGCGTTGTTGTCGCACATGGAATGTATTCATTGGTTTCCTGCTGTCACGTGACATAACCAATGACATAGCAGCTAGCTCCCATAGTCGTGGTCTTTCTGCTGAGCTGAAACCTCTGAAATTTTAGAAAGTTGACTGAAGTGGGAACAGAGATCTTAGGCAGAATTTTGTGGAATTTTAGTGCCAGGTTTGAAAAAATCCAACGCAAAATGACTGAAGCCAAACACATACTGCACAGCGGATATTTTCATCCTGTTATGCGTAAATGGCAGAGTATGAACTGTGAAATCGGTCCCCACAACCTTATGTACCCGGTGTTTATTGTGTAAGTATTGGTTATGTTTTCTGATGTCAGTAGTAGTGACAGCATCTAACTGTCACATATTTTTGTAGTGTTCTTTTTCGGACCTAACTGTGATCTTAATTAAGCCTTTTTGTTTGTCCAGGGATGACCCTGATGCTGTTCAACCTGTTGTTAGCATGCCAGGAGTTAGTCGTTATGGTGTGAACCGCCTTAAAGAGGCTTTGGAGCCCTTAGTGAAAAAAGGTCTAAAATCTATCTTACTCTTTGGAGTTGCAGAGTCTCTTCAGAAGGTATAATGTCATAGATTTGATAGTAATCGCCTGCTGCGAGTTCTTTGTTTTCATCATAAACAATTTCTGTATTATTTCCAGGATCCTATTGGAAGTAATGCAGATTCTAAGGTTAATCCTGTAATTGTAGCTCTACCATTGCTTAGGAAATGGTTCCCTGAACTAGTAATTGCATGTGATGTAAGTTGTATACGTGTAGAAAATATATCTGTTGGTTCCTCTTTTCGATCTTTGATTTTTCTGGATGCGTTTATGTGTTTGAGGCAGGTTTGTTTGTGTCCATATACTAGTCATGGACACTGCGGTCTTCTCCTACCTTCAGGTGCCATAAATAATGAAGCCAGCATCAAACGCATCGGAGAAGTGTCTTTGGCATATGCAAGAGCGGGTATGTAATTTATGAGTGCGGTGGGTGCATTGTCGCAGTGATGCAGTGAGAAATTGTCAAACAAACAACAACTCTCTTTTTATGTTCCTTAGGTGCTCATATTGTGGCCCCCTCAGACATGATGGATGGGCGTATTGCTGCTATCAAAAAGGCATTAGCGTCAGCCGGCTTATCAAACACTGTCAGTGTTTTGTCGTATGCTGCCAAGTTTGCATCAGGTTTTTATGGACCATTCCGTGATGCAGCAAAATCTGCGCCTTCAAGTGGAGATCGTAAATGCTACCAGCTCCCTCCCGGTAGCAAAGGCTTGGCTGCTCGAGCTGCAGTGAGTAAACCTTCTTAAAGATCATGATTATAGTGATCAAGTGTGTATTTTGTTATGTAATCTGCATTTATCTGTCTTGTGGCAGTTGAGAGATGTGAATGAGGGGGCAGACATGCTGATGGTCAAGCCTGGTTTAGCTTACTTAGATATTGTCAGGCAAACTAAGGATGCCCATCCAGAGCACCCTTTATTCATATACCAAGTTAGTATTTGTGTTTTGTTTATTATTTTTTTCCTACTGTCAAAAATGTTATATGTTTACATAATTATTATCTAAGTTATTTGTGTGAGCTCATTGTAACTTTTAAAATTGCCCAGGTGTCAGGAGAGTTTGCTATGATAGCACATGCAGCAAAAGCTGGAGCTATTGATTTGAAAACAGTATTGGAAGAAGTCCTTGTTGCCATGCGACGTGCAGGTAGAGTCTCTTACAACAAAATTATATACTAGTTAAGTATATCATGTACATCTTGTGTTCTTGGAATAATCGTAAAATATTTTTTGCAGGTGGGGACTGTATCATAACTTACTTCACACCTCAAATTCTTGATTGGATGCAAATGAAGGCAAAACTTTAAACAGTCTGTCTTACACTGTACAGGAATTACAGAAGAAGTGGATGGTATGGTGGGTTTGTTTTACCATTAAAATGGGTTAGTGTAGTTGGAATCTAATGTACAAATGTAGTGATATTGTAACTTTTCTTTTGTTGAAAGAGAGAACCGGCTTGTGTAATTTGTTATTGTTAATGATTAGTGGGTTAAGTTTTTTTTTTTTTGAATTTGGTTGTGGTTTTGTCATTGACATTTTTATTTGTTCCTAGAACTCCCATTGTTACAATTCCTGAATCTCATTTCTCGTTATTGTTGTCATGTCTTGAGTAGCCTGTAGTTGACTGAAAATTCCATTCTGTGATATTTCTTTCCCTTACTCGCAACTTAACCACTGCCTCGCTGCTGCTGTGTTCGATGTGTTTACGTTATCAATTAGTTTTGTTTCATCAGCTACCCCATTCAGAGGTGTACTGCTGTTGCTGTGTTGCTCTCTCTCTCAGCAGGTTCGAGCCCCTGCGCGCCCGGCGGGCAGGCAACCCATTCGACACGTGGCCACAAGGCGCAAACTGAACTGTTAGTTCTAAGCGCATCAATCAAATGACATAGTGTATAGCTGTTTATGGCTCTCTGTGACCGGACGTTAACAACGAAAATAAAAATAGTACTTTGTTGTTAAAGAAAGTGATTTGCTGCATTGTCCAGGTCCCCCGGGCCCGGCACACGTACAGTATAAAAAAGTACACGTCGCAGCGAGGCTGCCATTCATTGCCAGCGAGTTGCCGATAGGTGTTTCCTCCACCAGTGACGGCGGCGAGTGATAGGAAAACGGGACAGGTGAGTTAAGCGATCACAGGCCCCGGCGGCACGGTGCGAAATGGCACATTACCGAAACGATGTTGCGGGCAAATTAGACTGGTCACGTTATCGTTTGGACATCGCTTCGGCGGTCGTCGTGGTGGCTCATGTTAGACTCCCTCCCCCTGCCTCCCGCCCTCCCGCCATGTACATACTAAGAAGCAACACACCCACCACTACTTCATCTCCTTTCGGATGCCCGCGAATGAAGCCCCTCAAAGAGTCCCTTTAGAATACCTTCCCCGGCGAGGGAGATTGAGATTGCCACAATAAGGGCGGCGGCCCCGTGTGAGCCGAGCGGGATGCGTTCGGGGAAAACGTTGTGTTGCAGCATTCCGCCGGGGATTAGAGAAGTGCCGTCATCACAACACGCTCATGCATGAGCCGGTGCAGGA